CACAAAAAGGTAAGTAAACTTACTGTAAATTACTATTTATAGTGCTCTAAAATTACTATACATACAGTACAATACTGTACTGAAGTACTGAAGGTTACATCATCAGTAATCTTAGTGCCTGGTTGTCTTTTGTATCAGTGAACCAAGTTCACTGCTTCAGAAGATAACTGATCCATCATGAAAAATTAGGTTCATAATTTGGAAGTTTAGGACAATCATCAATAAAATACACTCCTCTCCTCCCCATTAGTCCACTGACAGAGTTCACTGTACATATTTCTAAGATAATACTTGGCTGCAAGAGTAGTATTTCTGCCTTGCTACTAGCAGATAGAGGATCGAGACCCCACTACTCCTTGTGCTAAATAACTTAAAAGGATTTAGAGCCACAAATAATAATTAAAACAATAATGTAGGGAAACTCAAATATTTTGTACACTAATACTCACAGTGAATGTTAAGTGAGAATGGCAGTTATGTAGCATAGCCGGAGAAGGTGGGCGCAACATGCAGGCCGCTGATACTAATCTCTTAGGGTACATCGGTTTCGTCCATTCTATATCTAAACGGGAAAGCTTCACCCGAACACCAGGAACTGCAAGTACTCGAGCCATACACAGCTCTGCACCAGCTTTTTCATTTTTCTGGAGAAGAGAGAAACAAAAAGTAATAGCTTCAGTTCAAGCAGTCACAATAAAACAAAATTATCTGTTACAATATATGTATAGAAACCTTATAGAAATTCAAAAGGCTGAAGGTAACACACCTGCTATCCTAGTTTTTACCTTTGTACTACAACATGCAAGTGCCATCCTGCATGCAATTATCTATTGCAGTACTGGGAAGGAATTCAGCAAGTATCTGAAGAACCTGTTATGTATTACGTATTATAGAATCACACTTTAGAATGGAAGTCTGTGTTATCAATATTTAACCCTTTCACTTTTGAGACCCTTGATCACGAACTTGCTCTCAGTGTCAAAAATTGTTAAAAAAAAAAAAAAAAAAAATCTTAACAAAAATCTTAAAAATATTTTACTGCTTGTTTTAAAAGAAAAAAATTTTTGCAATCAGCAGTTATGGAGATACAGAGATGTGAAGTTGACAGAAAGTGAACCGCTTACACATCGTCAGCGACTGCCGCTCACTCGGTAATACTATTTTTACTTTCATTCTATTTCTTCCTTTCTAATACAGTGGACCCCAAGTTTCGTGAGCTTCACGCTTTGTGAATTTCGACTTTCAGCAACTTTTTTCGTCAAAATAAAGCCTTGTGGTTCGCGATTTGCCTCGTATTTCATCCATTGTACGGCTGGGAGTGGCTGGGTGTACACAAAGGCTCCCACACAACATTCAGGAGTAAGTGTGGCACTGTTTGTGGGTGAGTGACAATTACCACACGTTTATACAATACATTTTGTAATAAACCATAGTTTTATTGTGCTTGAAACTGCTAAATAAGCCACCGTGAGCCCAATGACAGCTTCAAGTGCCAGCCCTTTGGTAAAGAAGGTGAGAAACATGATAAAATTAAAGGAAGAATGCCTAGGCATAATAGAGGCTCTCTTTGCATTGCAACCCACTATTGTAAATACAAAATCTCAATGTACTGTTTGCAAAGACATAAAATAAATAAATAAAGAAAGAAAGAAAGAAATCATTGCAAAATATGGAAGTGGAGTGCGTGTGGCCAAACTCAGCAGGATATACAGGAAGCCCCATTCAACGATCGCTTCCATCGTGGAGAAGAAAAAGGAAATCAATGAAGCTGTTGTTGCGAAAGAGGTAGATATACTCACCAAAAAGAGATTGCAAATACTCAGAGATGTTGAGAATTTTTTGTTAGTGTGGATCAATTAAAAACAATTAGCAGGAGATAGTGTTATGCAGGCGATAATTTGTGAAAAGGCAAGGCAGTTGCATGCCGATCTCATAAAGAAAATGCCTGGAACGAGTGCTGATGTTAGTGAATTTAAGGCCAGCAAAGGCTGGTTTGAGAGATTTAAGAAGCGTAGTGGCATACACAGTGTGGTAAGGCATGGCGAGGCTGCAAGTTCTGACAAATGTGTGGCTGAAAAATTCATGCTGGAATTCATGGACTATGTAGAGGCTGAAGGATTCGTCCCTCAACGAGTGTTAAATTTTGACAAAAAAACAGGCCTCTTTGGAAAAAAATGAAAAAGGGGCCCTACATCATGCGGGAGGAAATGGCATTCTGGGACCAAGCTAATGAAGACGGGTAACCTTTTGTTCTATGGTAATGCTAGGGGGAATTTAAAAAGTAAAACCTTAACGGTTATCACTCGAAATCCCAGTGTGTTCAAGAAAAAGTGCGCCATGAGTAAATTGTGTTGATAGGAAGGCTAACAAAGGGCAGGGGTCAATGGGAAATTTCCTTGATTGGTTCAATGAAGTGTTTTGGCCTGGGTAAAGAAAACCTCCTGTAATAAATTGCCACTCAAGTCCTCCTGTTTTGGGAAAATGTCCTGCTAAACCCCCCCAATTTGGGATGGCCAAAGGGGAAGGAATTCTGCCCCTAATCCCACTCCTCCATCCACCTATGGACCAGCAGACATTTAAAATTTTAAAAAAACTCTACCCCAAAAAGCAATTTTTTCAAGTTGCTCGAGTTGACCTCAGACCTCAATTGACCCAAGAGTACTGAAGATCACTTTAATACCTCCACTGCATGGGCCCTTATAGATAAAAACCTTGCGGGATGACCCCCAAAACTTGGAACCGCTGGAGAAAATTTGGCCAATATATCCAGACAAAGTTTTTAAAGGTTTGAGGCGACCCTGAAAACCCTATGCCATTGGGGAAAATCATTGAACTTTGGGGAAATTTCCCATGGAGTGACCAGGATGGGGAAAAATTGGGTGGAGCCCACAGTCAAGGCTAACCACTGAAGGGCTGCAAGCCCTTCATCTGCAACGCAACAGACTACAGCGGGGAAAATTGCTTCGAGGAGGAGGAAGAGAAGAGGGGAAAAAAGGTGCCTTTTACAAAGTTTAAAGGGGGACTTTTTGAAATGGAGTGGGTGCAAACTTTTTATGGAGGAACACCCCCTGACAAAGCTGTTCAACCCATGCGGGCAACATGTAAAATACTGTCTTGTCCCATTTAGGGAAAAATTTTTAAAAAAACACAAAAAAAAACTTCCCGGAACAATTTTTTTATGACAGGGGTCCAGTGCCCCAAACGGGCAAAAACAAAGAAGGGAAGTAACCCCGGGTAAACCGGTACTTAACCCTTTAGGGGCGAGAGCCTCCCTAAATTGTTTTTTAGGTTGAAAATTTTTCAGAAAAAAAATTTTTTTCTTATGAAAGATAGAGAATCTTTTTCCCATCATAATGACACCAAAAATATGAAATTTGATAAAAAAATTTGGGAAATTTTGCTTCCCTGAATTAGCGGTCTCGCGATGTTTACCATCGGGTTTGCCCCCTTTGAGCCCTATTTTTGGCCAAATTTCCCGTGTACATCGACAAAAATCATATTTATTTTTCTAGAACTCCATTTTTTTTATCGAATGAGTACAAAACCACCCATTTTACAATTTTTAATTATCCAATAAAGGGCTAAAAATTGCAATTTTTCCAAATTTTACACAGATTTCAGAAGATGCTTTTTTCCAAAAAGGGGCCAGAATAAACAAAAAGACATTTCCCGGCACTAAAAAACAATTTTCTGTTTTTGTCCCCGTCCCCCGGCCCCTCTTTTATTTTTTGCTTTCCCCCCTTTGTATTTTTAATCTTTTAAAAAAAAAAAGATTTTCTGTTTAGCAACTACTACATTAGTTAAAAAGATATAAATAATATCAGCGCACTTGTGAAAGAATATTAGACTCACCATTTGATGTGTTTTGAAGTTTGGGCATGATTTTCTACTTGGAAATTTTGGTAAAAAATCGAACATTTCGCTACTTTGGCTCAATTTAAAGGGTACTTTTCATTGTGAAACCATAAAAATCATCTAAATTACTGTAACATGTCTTCCGTTCTATAAAAAAACCCAAAAAACAGAAACAAAAATAAATACCATACAAAATCCGTGCAAACATTTTATTCCCAAAAATTTTTTTTTTTTTTTCATTACCACCGTGATCTGCAGGATTTTTTATACTGCACACACGACCACATAGACCCATTTTTTATATGTAGGCCCTCCAGCTTTCTCTCGCTAGTTTTAAAGGGCCCTAGAATTTAGGCGTACTATACTCAATAACCCTAGTGCGTAACCCTACATACCCCGAAAGCCCGAAAGGTTTTTCGAAATTCTCCTTCCAAACAAAGGTAACTTCCCATCCTCTCCCCTCCTCCTGTCTTCCATAACCAACAAAGTTTTCAATAAAGGTGTGATATTATTTTTTATACTTTTTTTCTCTTTCTTTTCGTAGTAAACCTATTTTTTAATCTAAAAAAAAAAAAATTTTTGTTAAACTTTTGTGTCGGGAAGGATTAATTGGATTTATATTTTTTTCTTAGGGGAAAAGGGTTTCGACATTCGGAATTCCGACTTTCGCGACTCTCTGGAACAATTAATCACGAAACTGGGAGGTCCACTGTTTTTTTATTTTTCAAGAAATTTTTGGGGCATGTAGACCAAAAAAATGTATAATGTATTTTAAAACCACTTTAGCAACACAAAAACCCACACAAACATTGTTATCATTATTTTCTTGACAAAACATTTTACATAAACCAACACTGCTTTCCACTAACCATGTTTCTTCCCCACACCCACATCGAAATAAGTGATCAACAATCGATTTGGATGACAGCCAAAAACTTACCTTAACACTGAAAAAACCACTATATTATGTTGGTAGCAGAGAGGAGACCCAAAAAAAATTTAACATTAAGTTTGACAACACTCAATTACCAACAAATGAGGGAAAATTCCTGCCTATCCCTTGACAACAACCTGAATTTCAGCCCCCATACCCAACCTAACCAAAAAAGTACCAAAACATTTGGGGGTCCTCTCCAAGATACGATACACGTGCCACAAATGCCCTTCCACCTAACCACTCATATTTTTCCCTACCTCACCTAGCATTTGTGCTTGGGGGGCAACTGCAGCAACACACCTAAACCAAAAATAACCCCCAAAAAAACCTGAAGTAAGAAAATCACTAAATCCCATCCCTGGCAACACACACCCCCCCCCACCTTCATAAACTAAACTTACTCCCTTTTTTAGTACATCCCACTTACACTGTGCAATCTACATCACAGACCCTTTAAAAACCAATTCAACCTTACCAAAACGTTTTTTGATAGTTTTTTACAGAACCCACAGGCATAACACCCGAACAAACTCTCTACGAATTCCCCCTGCCGACAAACCTTTACAAAAATTTAATTAAAGTCAAAGGGCCCCAAAATTGGGAAAACCCTACCTAGAACTCTAGAACGCGATACATTCACACCTCAAAACTCCATTAAAAAACTCTATCTCCCTGATAAACCCCATCAACAACTACACGAATACCCCGGGGGTTCCACTTACACTCACTCACCCATTTGACCATAAAAAGAAATATTTTCTCAAACTTAAAAAAATGAATCCTATATACTGCAATACTGAAAAATAGTAATGTGCCAAAAAAAGCATTCACATTGCAACTCACAAACTAGTATTTATCACTTAGCCCATAAAAACCAAATTTCCTCATAATTTGAATAAATTTTTAAAATAAAGATTAAAAAAGCCTGCCCCAAATGCCTACCCCTCTAGGGGTTTTAGTGGGACACTCTTTAAACATTATTTAAAATACAGTAAACCACACAACAACCAAATTCGGTAAATTCAACATTGTAATCTTTATAGAGAATAAACTTTGAATTTGAAAAAAAAAAAAAAAAGTCACTTTGTCTGACTTTTTTGGGTTATCCTAGGTAATCTACACATATACTGCTAAGTATGATAATCTACGCACGTAACTGTATTTATGTATACCTGAATAAACTTACTTATTCTATGAGACATGGAAAAATATGAGTTTCCTCTTTCACTGTGGTACAACTGAACATGAATGGGACTGCCCAGCACCAGAGGTGGAAGGTTGATAATCGTCTGAGTTTTCAGCACTACCTATTTCTGGTATTCTGGGCATTGCTTTTGGTCACAAACTCCTCAGAACCATGAGATTCATCTTCACTGACACTTCAATCTGCATTAGAACTATCACTTGGGAAAGGAAGAGTCCCAATTTGCCGGGGAGTGAGGTATTTCTCACTCCTAGGCATAGTGAAAGAGGCATACTCAATTTGCACTCCCACAATGCACTATAGCCTCCAGGATTTTTTTTACAATGCGCACACTGACCAAACAGACCCATTCTCTCACATGTAGGTCTACCAGCTTTCTCCTGCTAGATATGAAGCCGCTAGAACTTTGGTGCAGTAATACGGCACCAACACTGTCTTGCAAGCAGTAGTACTACAACACCGACAGTGAAAGGGTTAAATATAAAGTTACACAGTAAATTTATATATAAAATTAAGAATGTTCAAGAGGAAGTTCTCCTGTCATGTGTTCATGGGAACTTTTGGTATTGTGCAAGTATAGTTATGCACAGAAATATAATTTTTTTTTTTAATACACCAGCCATCTCCCACCGAGGCAGGGAAATTAAAAAACAAGAAACACTCACCATCACACACTAATCACTGTCTTGCCAGAGGTACACCAATACTATAGTTCATTTGCCTCTCCAAACTGTAAATATCCCCAGCACAGGCACTGTACTTCCCACCTCCAGCCTGCAGCTAGAGACCGCACAAGCTCCTTGAGTTTGCTTCAAAGACCATAATACAAAACACACAAGGAGGAGATTTATTTTTCTCAGCACACATAATTTACCTTCCTGCGTTTGGCACTGAAGATATATTTCATGTTACTGCGTGTGTGTTGGGCAGCATGTAACACTATTGTGGGTTCCATCACAGTCACAATATACGAGCGGATGGGAGTGTTGGCTTCAAGTGAGGCTACTTCATCCTCTGTAGCAACTGCTAAATTTGTTGGAGGCTCATCTGAAATGATATATATATATACAGAATGAAAGGGGGTAAAGCAGCTGGAACTGATAGGATCATGACAGAAATGTTAAAAGCAGGGGGGAATATAGTGTTGGAGTGGTTGGTACTTTTGTTTAATAAATCTATGAAAGAGGGGAAGGTACCTAGGGATTGGCGGAGAGCATGTATAGTCCCTTTATATAAAGGGAAAGGGGACAAAAGAGATTGTAAAAATTATAGAGGAATAAGTTTACTGAGTATACCAGGAAAAGTGTACAGTAGGGTTATAAATGAAAGAATTAGAGGTAAGACAGAATGCAGGACTGCGGATGAGCAAGGAGGTTTCAGAGTGGGTAGGGGATGTGTAGATCAAGAGTTTACATTGAAGCATATATGTGAACAGTATTTAAGATAAGGTAGGGAATTTTTTATTGCATTTTATGGATTTAGAAAAGGCATATGATAGAGTGGATACAGGAGCAATGTGGCAGATGTTGCAAGTATATGGAATAGGTGTTAAGTTACTAAATGCTGTAAAGAGTTTTTATGAGAATAGTGAGGCTCAGGTTAGTGTGTGTAGAAGAGAGGGAGACTACTTCCCGGTAAAAGTAGGTCTTAGACAGGGATGTGTAATGTCACCATGGTTGTTTAATATATTTATAGATGGGGTTGCAAAAGAAGTAAATGCTAGGGTGTTCGGGAGAGGGGTGGGATTAAATTATGGGGAATCAAATTCAAAATAGGAAGTGACACAGTTACTTTTTGCTGATGATACTGTGCTTATGGGAGATTCTAAAGAAAAATTGCAAAGTTAGTGGATGAGTTTGGGAATGTGTGAAAAGGTAGAAAGTTGAAAGTGAACATAAAAAAGAGAAAGGGGAAAGGGGGTATCAAATGATTTAGAAAAAAAAAAAAATTTGGATATCAAATTGGGAGGGGGATAGGAAGAAGTGAATGTTTTCAATATTTGGGGAGTTGCGTGTCAGCGGAGGGATTTATGAGGATGAGGTTAATCTAAAATTTTGATGGGGGAAAAAAGGGAGTGTGCGTTGAGGTATATGTGTATAAAAAAAACTTTATCTTGGGGGCAAAGAAGGGAATGCATAAAGTATTATCCCAAACACTTTTAATGGATGTGAACTGGGGAAAATGCAGCACAAGGAGACGGGGGGGAGGAGTGGAGATGCCTGTCTAAAGGCAATTTGTGGTGAAAAAATTATGCAAAAAATTTTGGGAGTGGGGAAATTAGGAAAAGGTGTGGAGTTAATAAAAGTATTAGTCAGAGGGAAGGGGGTTTTGTTGAGGGGTTTTCGGTCATTTAGAAGAATGGATAAAAGTAAAATGACAGGGAAAGCTTTTAAACCCTTAGGAAAAAAAGGGGGGTAGGGTCGCCTCAAAAGGGGTTTGGAGAGGGGGGGTAAAGAAGGTTTTTGTGCGGGGGGCTTGGCTTCCCCAAGCAAGCGTGCTTAGCGTGTTAGTAGAGTGAATGGAGACGAATGGTACTTGGGACCACATCTTTTGGGAGTGTGAGCAGGGTAATATTTAGTAAAGGGGTTTGGGGAAACCGGTTATTTTCATATAGTGATTTGAGTCCGGGAAAAGGGGAAGTAAAATCCCTGCACTTTAAGGGGGGGTTTTGGGGGATTTTGGCAGTTTGGAGGATATTTTTGAAACATCTTATACTATATGCTTCAACATTGTATTCTGGCACCCCTGCAAAAAAAGTGAAATGGTGAGTGAGGTGAAAGTGTTTTGAGATGAAAGTTTTCTTTTTTGGGGGTTTTTCTTTCTTTTTTTTTGGGCACCCTGCCTCGGTGGGAGACGGCTGACTTGTTGAAAAAAAAAAAATATATATACAGGTTGTGTTACTCACCTAAATTTTGGGTTTAGGGGTCGAGACTCAGCTCCTGGCCCCGTGTTTGCGCGGCGTGCATGCGTGCTGCGTGCGTGCGTGCTGTGTGTGTTGTGTGTGTGTGTGTGTGTGTGTGTGTGTGTGTGTGTGTTGTGTGGTTTTGTATGTATATATTTCATATATAGATATATAATTTCATAAAAAGAGGATAAAAAAAACTTTTATAAAATACGATATAGTTTGTAATAACTGATGCCAAATATTCGCACTCTAACTGTCCCCTGTTTTGTGTATAATTACACAACAAACCTAAGTTGGTCCTTTCTTAAATTATCATGACTCAACATCCATCACCTTAAACCAATACCACTTTATCACAGCCTTTTAACTTGAGAAAAACCCTTCAAAAAACTGCGTTCAACCCCCTAGCTTTATTGCCAAAAAGCTTGCTGAAACACTTTTGTAATTTTTAAATAGCCATTTTTAACCAAATTTGACACAGAAATTTTTCACACAATACATGCAATTCTTAAAGATTCCATTCTTTTAAAAAGAAAGTATAAAAACCGACGTAAAAAAAAAAATGCCTATCTAACCCCAACAGAATGACCAACTGCACGAAAATCGCCAGCTTTTTACAAAAGGGTGTAGTGTGCAGCATGACCCCACCACCTCCATATTTCACCCAGAAAATGCCAAAAATCATGCCGAGGAACTTTTTTTATAGCTGTTTACAAAAAAATCAAATAGCTATGCAATGCATTTTGGCACACTTAAGAATAAACTACAATAATGGAACAGATAAACAAAAAAAGGGCAAATACCGTGACTTTTTAAATGGGGCCAAATCGGGCCGAAAAGTCGCGTAACTTCTCTTTTTTTTATGTCGGGTTATTTGTGTATGGAACAGATATATTACACCAATTTTTACAAGAATTTAATGAATTTATAAGGAGTTAGGAGAATGTAGTATAGTTATTATCGTAAGTGTTACAGCAGACTCGACCCCTGCAACCACATACAACTGAGCTGAGAACATATAGGCCAGTACAGCTATAGAGACAAGAAATTCAAGTACAAAGTAATAATTTTGAATTGCAACAGCATACAACGATGCAAGAAATTAGTACAATGATCAATCTATATAAAATTCTTGATTGCTACAACAGCCATATCAAAATGTAACATATGGTACCACATAGTACAATGGTACAATTGTAACATGGTATAATTAAGTCTGGCCAAAATGCACTGTGTGCTAGTGGTTTTCTTTTGTGCTTAACAATAACTTATTACATGTAAACTACTGCAGAAAGAAATAAAGTTGTTTGTTTTATGAGAATAATGGTGATACAAGATACTCAAACATAAATACCAGACAAAAACTCAATAGGCAGGTTTCAAAGATGTGTTTGACATAATATATTGCTGTCATGAATAACATTAGGGTAAAGAGGTGCAAGAACCCTTTCACTGTTGCATCCCCTAAAATTAAAAGTATTTTCAGAGTTGATTTTTTTTTTTTAAATTTATCATTTAAAATGGTAATCTCTTTCTGAAGGTAACGATACCCAAAATGCAAAATATGGTGAAAAATTTACAGAAACTCTATAGGAATAAAATTGCAATCCAGAACTTTATGCAGCTGCAACTTTTGCCCAATCTGAGGTCTATTTTAGACTAATTCCAGTATTCAAACAGATCCAAGACAAGCTTTACTGCTGGTAATCTTTCCATGCCACTGATAGAGTGCAAGAAACTGCCCATTCAACTATCAGAAAAACCCTATAAAGCTTCCAGAAGTTGCTATTTTGGCAAATTTTACACAAAATTTAACAAATTTCAATTTAAAAATTATAGAAAATAAACACCAAGAATGACTAGTCAAGGTTTAGGCCATCCCAATAATTGAAGCAGACCTAATAATAAAATAATAATAATAAAATAATAATAATAAAATCTATAAAACAGAATGAGAGGTAGGGAGCCAATACCCTTCCTCTGGAAAATCACTAAATATTTGATACAGTGGAACCTTGGTTAACGACCGTATTATTTGCCGAACAAATTGGTTTTCAAATGAGGAACTCAAGAAAAAATGGTTTAACAACAGATCAGCAGCAGAGTAACCTTTCCTGAAGCCATGTTGATGGTCACAAAGTAGTGAGTGGCAGTCATTTGTTTTGAGATTATTGTCTCAAGGATCTTACCAGTGATTGACAGGAGTGACACTGGTCTGTAGTTGCTGAATTCTGCTCTGCTCTTCTTTTTGTGAACAGGGACTACATTTGCCTCTTTCTACAGAGAAGGCCATTTACACTGTACTCGTCAGTGCTGAAAGATGCGAGTCAGAGGTGCTGCTAGCTGGTCTGCACATCTCAGCAATCTTAGGCTCAACTTGTCGGGGCCCACGGCATTTTCTTGGTCAAGCGATTTAAGAAGGAAATGCACCTCCTCCTGCCTTATTGTCACCTGGAGTTTACCTGGAGAGAGTTCCGGGGGTCAACGCCCCCGCGGCCCGGTCTGTGACCAGGCCTCCTGGTGGATCAGGGCCTGATCAACCAGGCTGTTGCTGCTGGCTGCACACAAACCAACGTACGAGCCACAGCCCGGCTGGTCAGGAACCGACTTTAGATGCTTGTCCAGTGCCAGCTTGAAGACTGCCAGGGGTCTGTTGGTAATCCCCCTTATGAATGCTGGGAGGCAGTTGAACAGTCTCGGGCCCCTGACACTTATTGTATGGTCTCTTAACGTGCTAGTGACACCCCTGCTTTTCATTGGGGGGATGTTGCATCATCTGCCAAGTCTTTTGCTTTCGTAGTGAGTGATTTTCGTGTGCAAGTTCGGTACTAGTCCCTCTAGGATTTTCCAGGTGTAATAAATCATATATCTCTCCCGCCTGCGTTCCAGGGAATACAGGTTTAGGAACCTCAAGCGCTCCCAGTAATTGAGGTGTTTTATCTCCGTTATGCGCGCCGTGAAGGTTCTCTGTACATTTTCTAGGTCAGCAATTTCACCTGCCTTGAAAGGTGCTGTTAGTGTGCAGCAATATTCCAGCCTAGATAGAACAAGTGACCTGAAGAGTGCCATCATGGGCTTGGCCTCCCTAGTTTTGAAGGTTCTCATTATCCATCCTGTCATTTTCTAGCAGATGCGATTGATA